GATACTCGAGCACTCTCGAGTTTCGGAACATCGATATCGAGTGTTGTCTCGTCATAATTCGAGTATAGGTCACTCGGACTGGTGGCGGGACTGTTCCCTCGTTGCGTCGTGTGCTGTACACACGATGAATCGAGTACCAAACGGTGTATACAAGGAGGATGCGATATTACCGGAGAGCCTTGAGTTTGCTCTTTTAAATACTTAAAATTTATTATGTTAGACGCATATTGTTTAAGTATTTATATGTAGTTCATCGGCTAATACATTATGAATATTAATATTACATAAATATGTATTTATGCATAAATTTTAGTTGTAAATAAACAAACCCCTTTTTTCAATCTTACTGTAGAATTTTAGATCTTTATTTCGAAATCTTACATTTAGTCATACATAGAAAAATTAATTTAAATAGCAGATGGGAAACATAGTAATTTTTCATACTTTTCACCGCAGTATTTTTTAAATAATATTCCGGTAGTTTCGGAACATATTTTCTTGGAAAAAATTGACAGATCTTCGTTCACTCTCCGCACCACGTACGCATAGTAGTGCGAATCAAAATCTTTTTCCTCGTAAGTTTCCATAGTAAAATAACATTTTTTATTGATTCTTACGATATTTATGATTTTACCAAATAATTTATTATGCTGTTGTATATTAATTGGTAAAAACATTCCTACTTCATAGTTAATGCCTTCTAACTCAATTTTTAGCATATTGAAGCAATCTTCTCTATCTGATTCATTTTCTATAAAAATCTGATTATTTATGATTTGGCACAGACGCAATTGCTCTTTTACTCCAATTGTGTACAACAGATTTTTTTTGCAGCTTGTAGAAGTTACTACGGATTTGATCGGTCGATGACGTGACTCGAAACGCATGGTCGAGTAATTGACACATGGTCCTAATAGTGTCAATAATCGAGGATAGTGTATTAAAAAATGATGTTTGGGCTTTAAAGGACCGAATAATTTAATGTAAAGCTCATGATGTTCTTCGATCAATGATTGCAAATAACTTTCATTATCTCGTCGAACAAAATGGCATGCTAAAATATCAAAAATTCGGCGAAGTAAAATAAATAATTGCCAATGCTCATCTTCCTCTTCCACGAAATGTCCAATAAATAAAGGTAAGTATCGTGTGAGGCATGAAATTTCGGAAGCGGACATTTTTAAATTGAACCGTTGTTTTAGATGATTCTCTTTTATTGGTGGTGGTTTGTTACAACCAGTGTGTTTATATTCAAAACATTCTATTTGTTCATTGAGGTCGTTCAATTTAAAAATTTTTTTATCGAAGATAAAAACTTTTAAAATTTGATGTATATCATAAGAGCACACGCCCTCCAAGAAATCGTGCAAAATGTCTATGCTTGTATTTTCCGTGATGTGAAAGTTTTGAATTTCGTGGAAAATACAAGCTTCTCTTATTCCGGATTCATTGACATTTTTTATTTTAGCGTCTAAATCATAATCATCACGTTTTCGAATTTTTGATTTTACTTCAATAGTTGCGAGGCTAGCTTCTTCATTAGTGAGTTTACAAATTCTGCAGTAAAAATCGGTTGTGAATGATTTCGTAAAACCAAAAATATCATTCAAGCCTAAATTATCACCTAACACCAATAGCAATTCAAATTTAACTACGAACGATTTAGAATCAACACAGATTTTCACTCCATTTTGCCTGAGGTCATTAGCCTCATCGACCAATTTATGGAAGGTCTCCCTGTTCGAAAGCTTTTTCTGCTGTTTAGAATGCATTAATAAGCTAAGAAAAATCGCACATAGACGAGAAGCAATACTAGGAGGTAGACACGCTATTTGAGAGTAGACCGCTGACATTTTATTTTTACCTGCACAGCTGCCCAGTGCATTTCCGCATTCACATTCATCAAAATAAATGAAATATGGAATCACAATATCTTGACAATGTTTTGGGATATATTTTTGCCTGAATAAATCAGCTTGAATAATATTTTTTATAATAAGGGGATTATTTTCCTCAAGTAATTTGGATCTATATTCCATTATGGAATTAAAAACATTTGGAATTTCCAGAAAATGTTTTAAAGTGATCTTTAAAGGCATCACAAGAGCAAATACTGGGTCGAAACTAACATAAGTGTGATTCCCTTCCGATTTTTTTTCTAATACATTTCCTATCTCAGGAACCTGCGGATTACGATAATTGATTTTACGTAATAAATTGAATCTATTATCCTCTGTATTAAGTGGAACAAACAACGTTTTATAATCGTCAAAAACGGAATTTAACTTCATTTTAGTTCTCTCTGACAATTGTTCATTTTCTAATGCTTCTAAAATATCTGCTCGAAGAGATGGTATGAAATGATTTTGATTAAATTTATCAAAAAAATCAATCACGGTATCAACAACCGATCTAGGCAAGTTAGAATCTGCATAAATATTTAAAATAAAAATTAAAAGTTCTTTGATTAAGAAAAAAAGATCCATGATAATAAAGATTCAAAGATAGGGCTATAAATAATAACAATAGAATACAAATTTGTATTATTTTTGTATTGTATTTAACAAATACGTGATTTTTACTTAAAAATGAAATTTACATCTGATAAAATACAAATCTGTATTATTATATCTGTACATATGTTTCAAAAGGATGTGATGTTTAATTTAAAAATTAATTAACATTTGAAAAAAAACCTTATTTCTTATTTATTTGCAATTTTTCAATTAAGTTTTTTGTCACAGCATGAGTCTTATAGACAAAAAATAAGCTCTTATTCATCGGTATCTTATAGATAATAAATTGAAAAAAAGCATGAATTGGCTCACAGGCAATGGGCCATGAACGCAGAGCTGCTTGACACTTAATGCAAGTTAAAATAGCTTTGAACGGATTAGAATAACTTATAATAGTTCCATTAAATACAAGATAAGATTTTGAAATTGATTCAATCGTTCCACATAAAATTACATACAAAGGTATCCTAATAGAAAGTTTTTCTAGAGTTTTTTCGTGATTCTCCCTATCTACAGCTAAATTTGAATCATCCTGTAAAAAAGTATTTGTGTAATTAAAAATAAGAATGAAGAAAATTAGAATAAAGTATGGGTAGAGAAGCTTACCTTAAGATGTAGAAAAAAAGCATCTGCAGCTTGCTTTCTAGTGATCCCTTCGTGAGTGTTGTTCAAGTACCATGGCAAAGCGAAAAGAGCCAATAGATTGTCATGTTTACCTGTACAAATGAAGCAAACAGATATAATTATAAAGATGCACTGACATCGATTATCAAATATTTACATGAAATAAATTAATTACCTGCATCTATTAAAGGTTGGTGCTTTTTCTTGAAATTTTTTATGTTTTGGCCAGAGGCAACTTTCACAATTGCCATAAATTTTTCAGCGATGATTGGCCATTGAGTTTCAAAAAAAGTTTCACTTCTTGCATAAAACTCGGTAGTTATTTTAGTAGAAATATAAAATTCGTTAATTATAGTCTCAAAATCAGATACCAACTGCAAGAGACCATGTAACATAATAATAATTATAATATTTGTAAACAATTCAAAGATCTATATTTTATAAAGTGGTAGATTACCAATGATATTGACGAGTGATCTAGAAGGCATTTAAACGAATGAACATAAAGTGTCGGTGTTAATAGGAAATTTTTTCCTTCTTTTTTACACAACAAATCGATCCTCTGCTTGAAAGTGTCTGTCCACCTTGCTGAAACTATAACGTCGTTATACTTTTCTCGATCGGCATCAATCAAGCAGTCGTAAAATGAAGCAAAAAGCTCTGTAAAATACATAATAAAATATTAATTTATTATACATTGTCATTTTTATGCGTGTTTGAAAATATTAGATAAAAATTAGATAAAAATAAATGCATGTATATTAGCAAACTAAAGATACAAAATATTCATGTAACAATTTGAAGTACATGACCAATTTTTAAAACTTACGTTTTTTGGCAGACTCTGTACTTATTGAAGCTGCTTTATCAGTGGCATTTTCTTCAATGTCGTCGTCGTCGTCGACGATAATTCCTACTTTTCGATACTTTCTTCTAACTTCTTTATAGGACCAATACAATTTTCCTCCCTCAGATACTTCCAAGGTGGTGCTGGTGCTTTTGGCGTGTTCTATGTACCACAAATCTTTTTCAGTGGTTGGGAAAACTTCAGCCAGTTGATCACGCAACCACACGAAAACAGGANATTAAACATGAACAAATTTGTAAGTTCAAATCACTACAAAAGTTTTCTACACATACATTATAATTTACATAGAATTAAAGCATAAAAATCACAGTTAAATAATAGAGAGTACACATAGAAATGAAACTCTTAATCTACAATTAGTAAGAAAAGGTCTATTTTTAACATAAAGTAGTTGAAGAGTAAATTTCAAAGTTGTTGATTTGGCAAAGCATCCCTTGGTTTTACATACTTGACTTGAAATCCTGTCAAGTATTAAGAAAAATACTGCTAATAAATATTAAACATTTAATATAAACTTTAAAATAAGTTTATTTTCTTTACGTTAGTGACAACATTTAAATATATAATGCCTGGAGTGACTTACATATAAAACAGAGGGTCTTTATTAATGTATCTGTATATAACAATGGGAATAACTTTAGAAAAGTCGACTTTTCCAAATTTTTCATATTTTCTCAAAATAAAATTCCCTTGGTCACTGCCCTCAATTAAATAATAAATTTCATTTTTTTTAAAAGTAAATGGTTCTGTAATACATACTTTAATCAGATCAACAACAAAAATTAAAAATAATCTATAGAGATGGAAAAAAAAATTAAAACCTTCCACTGGTGTTTCTAAATTTGATCGCTTACAGGGATTATCAATTTCTGCTACAATAGTATCTTCTGGTGAATGTGGTCTCTTATTATTTATAATATTATTGTTAGTATTTGAAGAGGATTCACTATTTCTATCCAAATGTAAATTTTTCTCAAAAAAATAAGATGAGATAAATGAATTTTTTTTACTTATTGAGAAAGGCTTTAAAAGTGACTCAATATTTGAAATTTCAACTGTGTAAAATTGCTCTGACTCTATTCCGCAATCTAAGAAAGATTAAAATGAAAAAAATAAAGGCTATAGATGTAAGAAGTTTAGTCCTATATTTATGCTTACTTACCCCAAAAGTGTTTGCAAACATCTGCCAAATCTGGATATTCTTTTTCAAAAGAATCCATGCTGGAGACTAATACAGGAGTATTTTGAAACAATCACCAATTCAGATCGAAGTTGTTGGTTAGATTTATAAATAACGCACGCGGCACTGAATAAACTTAATAATTATACACGATGATTATGTATACACGTATATATACACGTATATAGCAACAATAATAACAGCAGTGCGATAAAGATTTGCAGAAATGCAACTCACGATACAATCGTATGTTTTTGCACGATACTTCAGAGTCTTTAAAACTCTTGCAAAAGTGTGTGTCGTGCTTTGTCTTTAAAGCGGGAGAATCACACGTGTGGCGCGGGACGGTTACTCGACCATCGAGTATCTAGCACACGATGACGTTTAGTTAGCAGCGCCACGGCAGTTTGAGTG